GAGCCGAGATCGCGCCATTGCAATCCAGCCTGGGCAACAAGAGCGAAACTCCGTCTCAAAAAAAAAAACAACTACAAAAATTAGCTGGGTGTGGTGGCGCATGCCTGTAATCCTAGCTACTCAGGAGGCTGAGGCAGGAGAATCTCTTGAACCCAGGAAGTGGAGGTTGCAGTAAGCTGAGATTGTGCCACTGCACTCCTGGCAACAGAGTGAGACTCCATCTCAAAAAAAAAAAAGAAGAAGAAGAAAAAAGACCAGATTTGAAGCCAAATTATTTGAACCCAAGTCCCAGCTCTACTCCTCAGCACTATGTTATTGGCCATATTTTCTCATCAGTAAAATTGGTTAATACTAGCTCTGCTTATTCCACCAGAGAATAAATTAAATGATCTATTTGAGAGGAATTTATGTACTATACACATAATAGAAGCCTGGCTGTGATTTCCTTTTGAATGTATCCTGGCTAGGCTGAAGTGGAAGGGAGATTAGACGGAGAAGCTCTCTGGCCTTCCCCAGAAATAACTATTCCTTCCTGCCCTCAGCTGCCGCTCAGCTCTGATGGAACAACGCTTGTTTTGGAAGTTCGAAGGGGCTGTTGTGTGTGTGGCCCTGATCTTCGCTTGTCTTGTCATCCTTCGTCAGCGACAGCTGGACAGAAAGGCTCTGGAAAAGGTCCGGAAGCAGATCGAGTCCATATAGCTACATTACAGCCTTTTATCCTGGGTCTTAGAGACCCGATCTCAGACAGTGAAAGTGAAATGGAGTGATGTGCACCCTTGGTTCTTTGAAGCCTTGTGATGATAGCCCCTTTTCCCCATCTTCTTCCAGATCATTAATGAGCAGAATAAAAAGAATAAAATAGTTTCTTTCCCTTCTGTAACTTGGATTAGGAAGTCATGAGGGCAGAGAGGGAAAGGAGGCAGCTAAGTACTTAAGGCCCCAATCTACCAAGTCTTCCCCACCACTTTCTCCTTGTTTTCCCCCCTCTTCTACTTATTTCAAACTTCTGGGATACAATTTCAGTTAAAACGTTTATTTCTCACTCAAGACTTATTTCCCGTCAACTCTATCCCCAAAGAAGAAATAAAATCACAGGTATATGACGAAAGTATTTGAGGTACCCTCTCATATATGCAGACTGGGCCTCAGGCAGAGAGAGACTAAAAGGCATCTCCTGGGGTGTCCTGACGTGATTTGGACCCCTTAGGGCAGACACCTGAGTAGGAATCCCCGTGGGAAGCAAAGCCATAAGGAAGCCCAGGATTCCTTCTTGTGATTGGGAAGTGGGCCGGGAAGGTTTGTTCCAGCTCACATCTCATCTGCATGCAGCACGTTCCCAATGCGCCCACTGGGTCTTGGCTTCCCTCCCATCTTCTCAAGCAGTGTCCTCGCTGAGCCATTTGCATCCTTGGCTCCAGGTGGCTCCCTCAGTCTGGACTCTACCACTTGGGTCTCCAGATTTTCTGTTATGTCCTTGTGGGTCAGAATGTTTCTGGAAGTCACTGTGAGGTGAAGGAAAGAAGGCACTAGTAGAGTGCTTCCCTGGGCGGGAGACCCTAGACAGGACAGGACCTCCCTCTTGCTTCTTGAGGACCTTGGAGAACGGAGCCCTCCTCCCTTGCTCAGCCAGGGGTTGCTCTCTGCCCTTGCCTCTCACCTCCGTGAGGCTGGTAATCCTCAGGCCCAGCTTCTGGTTGACGCTGGAATGGACTGAAGCTGGGCAGGATGATGAGAGCCAGGGAAAAAAGAATCTGGGAGGAAGCAAGAGGAATAGAAGAAGGGAGGAGGGCAGAGTGAACAGAGGCCAGCTGGGGTTATTGAATGTGGGAAGTAGATCTGGCCGGGAAGTTGGGGTGTAAGGATAGAAATGTGGGTGAGATGGTGGAGGTGGGGGGAGATGGGAGTAGATAGACTAGTGTTACCAGAACACAAGTGCTGGTCTGAGCAGCTTTGTTGGAAGTTTGAGCAATTAGCGTCTGCAGCTGGCGGAGCTGAGCTACCAAGGAGCTGGGAAAGGAGGAATGAAGAGTTAGGATCTTCTGGGTACCAGGGCCAAGAATGGTGCCCCTGTGTGCTGTACCCTCCCTGCCTTCAATACACGCCCACACAGAGCTTTCACTCACATGTTGTGCCTCTCCAGCTCCTGGACTTTTTTCTGTAATTCTTGGTTCTGTGCAGAACAGGCTGCCACCCTAGAGTGTGGGGAGGTAGGACAAGGCTCAGCAACCTGAGTCCCTTATCTTGCCAGCTGTGGTGAGCAAGGGGGCCCAGACGTGGTCCACAGGAAGCCAGAAGTAACCCAGGCATACCTGCTCTCCAGCCCATCAATGTACTCCTTCTTCCGCCGCCGACTGTCCTGAGCAGACTGCTTGTTACGGATTTTCCTCCTGACCTTCTTGAGGACCCTCTCCTCTGCCTGGAGGCCCAGGATGTGTGAATCCTGGGTCTTTCACCTACCCCAACTCCCCAGTGCTTCTCCTGGGATAGTGGCCCCTCAGAAGTCATGGTGAGACCCCTGGGTTGGGATACCCTTAGGGGAAGCATGTTACCTTGGTGAGGGGCAGGTGAGAGGGCAGAGAAACCCCTTCCTGCCCCAGCAGACGCTTCTCCTCATCTGTCAGGAACAGGGTTTGACAGGGCAGCTGGGGGTAGGGGCAGGAGAAGATATAGTAGGAGTGAGGAGGAGGTCATCCCATTTCCAGGCTACTCCCCCTGCATGCCTTCTGGTGAGTGTTTCCTATTTGCACTGGGACACAACTCTAACCTAGAGGTGAGGTGAGGGCTAGAGACCCTAATTCAGACAGGCTCTAGATCAAGCCAGAGTGACCTCCTGAAGCCGAGAAGGGAAAGAGGAGGGTCTTGTCATATCCTTCCCCAGAGACTTAGGACCTTAGCACTCTGAGCAAGCTAGGGAAGGCTTGTTCTGGTCCATGTCTCCCCATACCCAAGGGGTATCTGAAGAGGACCTGAAAGAACTCACTACAGTGAAGTTTGCTTAATTTCCTTAAAGCAAGTACCATATTCACTTTCAGCCATTAACTTCCATTTAGCAGAGTGTGTTATCCAGCTGCCTGTCAACCACAGGGAGCTCCCTGGGTCAGTGGCCCATTCTCCCCTAGGGTCTGTGCTCCACTTCTCAGACTAAGGTTCTGTCACCTCTCATACAAAGACCTTCCCAAGGGCAGCCAGACTTCTCACAGCAAATCACAGGAAAGGATGTAGGGAGAGTAGATAGTGCTGGTGGTTAACCTGAGCCCATCAACTGAGTAACTTGCCTTTCTCACTAGTATTTCTTTTTGAAAGACGTATGTGGCCGGTCACAGTGGCTCACACTTGTAATCCCAGCACTTTGGGAGGCCAAAGCGGTCGGATCACCTGAGGTCAGGAGTTCGAGACCAGCCTGGCCAACATGGCGAAACCCCATCTCTACTAAAAATACAAAAATTAGCTGGGTGTGGTGGTGGGCACCTGTAATCTCAGCTACTCGGGAGGCAGAGGCAGGAGAATCTCTTGAATCCGGAAAGGTAGAGGTTGCAGTGAGCCGAGATCATGCCACTGTACTCCATCCTGGGCAACAAGAGCGAAACTCTGACTCAAAAAAACAAAAAAAGAAAGAAAGAAAGCTGTATCCTTCATTTTGTGACTTAAAGAGAATTTACTTTGGTTTTTGCCTGCTCATGGTCTTTGGCTTTTGGCAAAACCATTTCCTATGTGGCATTTCCTGATGTGCCCTTCTTGTTCCCGTGACTAGTGGAAGTATTAGAGGAGTGTCTCTTCCAGTCCACCTAATCAAAATCTCTGAGAATGGGACTTTTTTTTTTTTTATCTTTAAAAAAAAAAAAAAAAAGGCTGGGAACAGTGGCTCATGCCTGTAATCCCAGCACTTTGGGAGGGCAAGACAGGCGGATCACGAGGTCAGGAGATCGAGACCATCCTGGCTAACACTGTGAAACCCCCTGTCTACTAAAAATACTAAAAATAAGCCAGGCATGGTGGCATGTTTCTGTAATCCCAGCTACTTGGGCGGCTGAGGCAGGAGAATCCCTGGAACCCAGGAGTTGGAGGTTGTAGTGAGCTGAGATCACGCCACTGCACTCCAGCCTGGGCAACAGCGAGACTCCATCTCAAGAAAAAAAAAAAGTATGGCCAAGGTGGCTCACACCTATAATTCCAGCACTTTGGGAGGTCAAGACCAGAGGACTGTTTGAGGCGAGGAGTTCGAGACCAACCTGGGCAATGTAGTGAGACTGTCTCTACAATAAACAAATAGCAAAGCATTTACAAATACTATGGTGCTTCTAATATACACCCAAACTTAGGAGCATCAGACTTTTAAGGGTTCCTCAGCTCAAGATTCTAAGATGTGCTGGGCACAGTGGCTCACGCCTGTAATCCTGGCACTTTGGGAGGCCAAGACAGGTGGATCACAAGGTCAAGAGATTGAGACCATCCTGGCCAACATGGTGAAACCCCGTTTCTACTAAAAATACAAAAATTAGCTGGGTGTGGTGGTGCACACCTGTAGTCCCAGCGACTCGGGAGGCTGAGGCAGGAGAACCACTTGAACCCGGGAGGCGGAGGTTGCAGTGAGCTGA